TAGTAGCAGTAGTAGCAGTAGTAGTTCCGGAACCCCATCTGTTCCCGAATCCTGGCTCCTGAATTGCCCCACAATGCAGACCTCGCCATGAGCGTAGTTTCTCAGCAAAGCGGAGCGGGAGGGAAAAGAATTGCCCCACTCGGTTCCTGAATTTGGTTTCTGAATTGGGCGTCGCCCGTTTCGTGGCAGAGCTTAAACCGAAGTCCCTCGCCGGGAAAGGTGCGAAAGAAGGTTCCGGGAGTGTATGTAGTCCTGTTCAGGCACAAAGTTCGGGAACTGCATGTCACAATTCGGGATCGGGGCTAGGCCACTCGCACGTCGGACTTCGGGAACCACAGGGCCGGATCTGTTCCCTAATCTTGGCTCCTGAATTGCGCCACTCGTTTCCTGAATTTAGTTCGCGAATTGGGCGTCACCCGCGCGGCCAAATCCGGCATCTTCTCAACTGGCCTAGACGCTACTTACGACCACACGGTCATGCCTCAAGCCTCGCCTGCACAGCAAAAGGCATAGCAAAGCCCATGTGTATGTGAGTTTTGTGTTCTCATTTAGATCGGCTTGCAGTGGCACGCTGCAACCCCGTACCCCGGATTCTACGTGGAAACGCATTGATGACTGTTTACTTTCGTGGTCTTCTGAATTTCATTCTCCTCTCTCCTCCAGGAATTCGTGGGGTATCTCAAGTCCAAGCGTGAGAAGAACGGCTACGGGTTCATCGTGTGCGGCGAGATTCAGGCCTAGTGCACCGGTTTCAGCATGCGACCAAAAGGGCGTACTGACGCTAGCTGCTACGATGTTACGAAGACAGGAGCGCTACCAGCGGGATGTTTGGGTAGACAGCGAGCTGCTGCCTGAAGGAGCTGCTTGGCAGACTAAGTCTGAAGGCAGAGGTGGCAAGGAGGACCAGCAGCAGTCGTCGTCGTCGTCGTCGTCGTCGTCGTCGTCGTCGTAGCAGTTGTAGACTAAACTACGACGACGGCGACGACGATGACGAGGACCCCGTCTTCTGCTTCTGCGTCTGCCTTTGCTACTGCGACTGCTACAGAGGCTGCCGGTATAAAGATTGTAAATTATTGAATTCAACATGGGACCGAGAGCTGCCGCACTAGCGATAGTCATCATCCGTCACGATGACCATGGCGCCATCGCGGGTGTGATGATCTTGAGTGGCGATGGCGCATTTAGGTGTAAAGTGCACTCCGTGGACGAGTGTCGAGAATCGATGGCCCACAATGCTTTTTAAAGATTCGCCAGAGCGTCAATGTCCTCCAAGGTTGATACTGACAGCCGCGCAGAGCTCAAGTTCAACGTTACGCTCAGCTCCGGCCGTAGTCAAGTCATGCAATCTTCTGACCGAGTACTACGTGATAAAACTGCTTGACTAAGGCACGAAGGGACACCCTCAAGCCAAGAATGCAAAATCTCCATGTTTGCCGGTGCATAGTAGCTACGGGCATCTTCCGCACTGAAGCATCCCTGGATGGCAGGTGGTTCTGGCATGATGAAGGTGCACGAATTTTGCCAGCAAGACATCGGGCCAAGCCGACAAGCAAGGCTCTGTGCTTTCATGAAGCCATGCAGCAACAAGATGACATCATTTGTGAAAGGCCTGGCTCTCGAAATCGTTTCCAGTGCTGTCAAGCCGGCGAGGGCAGAAGCAGAAGACTCTGCAACATCTTATGCCAGGACAAGTTTAGCAGGCTCTTCCTGGCTCCCGGTTTCATTGTACAGTCAGATCACCAGTCTTATCGGCTGACCTCTCGCGCCAGATAAACAGCTGTTCCGTGGAGGTTAGGCCGAAGCTCACACCCAATCAGTTGCAAGCTGGCCTCAGCCCTGTGAATGGCAGTCTCTGTTGATCATCCATGATGTTCGTCGAGAACCTGTTATGAGTGGAATCTCCCCCCCAAAACACACAAACACAGACAGGCAAACGTCCTCTATGTAAACAGTCCTATAATGCACTTTGCAGTTTGCCAAAGAAGAACTTGTGAAAGTCACTCCACAGTTGCGGAGTGGTTCCGGTGCCGAGTTGTTCTGGCCAAGTAGAAGATATGATGCTTGGTAGTGCCATTGATGTGGCTTTGAGTAGCGGTGCTGCGAGGGATTTCCAGTAGCGCACAATCGTCCTTGCTGTTGTCCACTGCTTCTTTCGCTTCATGAAAATATATCCTCGAGGGCACCTTGGGTCAGACTTGAACCCCTACGAATGCCGTTTACGAAGATCTTGCGCTATCTGTTGTGCGAATGCTTGCTGGTGTTCACGTGGTGCATACGGTAATCGTGTGAACACTGTTTCATCTGTCCATGTCCTCCGCTTGGTGCTGTAGAACACTGTTTCATCTGTCCATGTCCTCCGCTTGGTGCTGTAGTAGAGTCGAGGTTGGGGCAGGAGAGCAGAACATGGCCATTGCAGTGGTCCTCAGTGTGGATGACGAGATGGTCTTTGAACAACTGTTTAAGCTTTTTGCACGCTCTTGAATTGAAACCGTTCTTCTTTGTTCAGCTGCTGGTCGACGTGCTGCTTCCACTGATCGTGAATGACCTCGGTGAGCTCTGGTTTGCTCCAGCGCGGGAAATGATTCCGCCTCCACCAGGCATCAAAAGCATCTTGAAACATGGACTGGCCAGAATGCGAATTGGGCATTAAATCTAGTTGAGCTTTGCCAAATCTAGCACAAGATTGAATTCTTCGAGGCCAGCTGCAATGTGACCATTTACATAGCTAAGGTTGGGGCCTCTTTGTAGCCATCCCTTGTAGGAGCATGGCATTCAGGTAGGTGTTGATGTTCTTGCATGTTCGATACTAGCCGTTACTAGCCTCATCCAGTTGTTCAAGAAGCGTCCAAGGATTGATGCGCAGGTTCAAGGGGAGTGCATGGCGGCAAATGCAACGGTTCTAGTTAGAACATATTTATGCTTCAGAACCAAAGCCTTGAGAAACTTAACCACGGCACCGAGAAAGCTCGAATGAGAGAGAAAAGGTACTCTGAACGAACAGCTCACGGGGTACCGACGTATTCTTGAATTTCAGCACACCTTTAAGAACCCGGAGCGGCGGCGCGCTCTACATGCCTTCAGGGGTTCAGCGATGCGGCGAGGCATGCATGGTCCGTTGCTGCAGATTGGCAACTGTGCTGACGTACTGCTGCCCATGTCTAGCCGAGTCTTGGCCGCGAATGCGCTGGCTTTTTGAAGCCTGTTCAGTGTGCTGGAATCTCGCTTTGACGAGGAACTCCTGAGCCCGCGTGATGTCTCCATCATCGGCCACTCGCCCCAGGATATCTGCGGAATGCAGAGAGTCCATCGTGGACGTGGTGGAATGCAGAGGGAACTGGCCCTCTGCAGCTGAGGCCTGGCCGTGCTGGTGATGAGCGCCGCGCTGCCGCTCGGGCCAAGAGCGCAGGGGCAAACCTTTGCGTGCTTTTTGTCTTGTGCACGGCGAACCGTTGAACTGTAAGGATCGAAAATGCATGCTTCCGGTGTCCTCGAACACATTACATGTCAACACATTCACAACGGAGACCGCGCATGCCACACAGCCAACGCACGTGTACACAGCAGGCGGACGCACGCCTAGGTTTGCCTCTGCCTCCGCGACACTTCAGCAGTCGTTCCACGCGACTTTCGCATTCCATTCGCTACACGCTTTTGCGCTGCAGGTGCTCAGGCGCTTATGCGTTCGTGCACTCACACGCTCTTACACTCACACACCCAGGTACATATTCAGGCACTTGCGCACTCCCTTGCCAAGTCATTTCATGAGCTGGTAGCTCAACGGTATTGCGTGTACTCTGGCCACACTAAGCTCTTCGGAGTCCAGCTTTCTTAGATCTTGTGAAGAGCTTGGAGCGACTGGTCGTGGTCCCAGGCTTCTTGGCATTGCAAGTCGCCAGCGTGGCGAGGCCAGGCCTTAATTAGGTCACAACCTGTATTCGCTGCATACGACGCCATGAATCCGTGTATATACATAAAGTATATAAGTTTCTACATATAGAAACACAGAGACGCACAAAACAGAGGTGCATATCTGCTTATCTAAGTATATACACAGCTACCTACCTACCTACCTACCTA